GGGGCCTGCAGCCCGTGAGGGGCCGGTGGAGCCGGTGAGCGGCCGCGCTGGGCCCGAGGCCTCGGGCAGCTCCCCTCCGCCCCCCCAAGCCCCACACACTCCAGGCAGGCAGGGAGCAGCTCTCGCTCTTTAATAAAGTTTTATCAGCAGCTACACAAAGCCCCCAGGGTGAATCACACCGCCCCCACAGCCCGGCCTCCCCAGGGGATGGCGAACAGGGGTCGTTGGTACCGGCCGAGGGTCTTTATGGCATGGAAGCGCTCTCAGGATGGCCCCTGGAGGCGAGGGGGAGCCCGCAGGCCCTGCGCTGCCCTCCGCCCTGGCAGCACCTGCAGGGTTTGGGCTGGTTTAGCTGCTTCAGTTGTCCCCGATGACATTTTTGGGGCTGTTTCCAGGGTGGGTGCTGGCGTTGGTCGGTGTCGACTCTCTGTTCCGGCCCCACCATGGCAGCGCTGGGAGCCGTGCTGGAGCTGTGCGGGGAGGCGGCAACGCGGGGCAGGCTACGTGAGCCACGAGAGAGCTACGCTAACTCAGCACAAACAGAAAGGTCAGCGGGCCCGTGAGCACTAATTGCACAGGCGCTTTTGCCCGCTGCACTGATGGAGAAAGCTAAACCAGCACGGCTTTCCGCCGGGCACTCAGCCCTCCAGGGGAGAGGAGCTGAACAAAGGGAAAACAAGTGCTTGTAGCTGGTTATAGAGGCATAAATAGGTGGAGAATCTAGACTTCCTGAATTCCAGGCAGCGCTCTAACCCCAAAGAGCGTAATTAAATATTTAAAATAACCAAACAAACCTCTTCTGCCTTCCTTAGCTCTTTACACCCACCTCGTTGCCAGTCCAGGTCTGACGGTGACGGTGCCGAGCGCTCAGCACCTCTCACAGCCAGGCCCCCGTTAGAAATAAGGAAAGGATTAGGGAGGAGGATCTGTCTTCTTAAATAAAGAAATAAAATTTAGAAAGCATTATGAATTACATTAACCCTCTGCTAATCATTATTATTTACACCAATTAAAATTAGTTGCTGTCGTCTGGAATCGAACGGCCCACTGCTATGCGAAGTAGCCCCAGAGGAAGAGCCCAGCACATACACATAATAGCAAGTTGATGTTCAGGACGTGTTTCACCAGCGGTTTCTCCTCCAGGGAAGCCACGGGAAGCGGCTCAGGTTTAGTCGGCGCCACATTCTCGTCGTTTTCCTGTTTGCGCTGCATCCCGCAGAGCCACAGAAAGGTGGTCATCAGCTTCGAGTTCCCTTTGGCGTTAGTCGTACCTAGAAAGACAGTCAATAGTGAGGTATAAATCTCACCAACAAAACACATCCCAGGAATGTGTCAGTGTGGTCCTGTACAAAGGGTCTTGATGCAAAAATGCACCAGCATTCTTTAAATGAATACACTAGCTACACTGAGGTTTAGGAGTCCCTTCATTTAGCATCTTTTGGGGGCTGTAGATTGATTGGAATCAATCTCATTCCTCCCTGGAGGTCTGAGCTCAAGTTCTGCTGTTCCCAACATTTAATAAAGAGTAACAGTAGACCAAGCCTAAAAGCTCAGCTGTAGCTGCTTGGTGCCCATCAGCTTGCTCTTGCAAGTGTATGCTCTACTCCCTTTGGGGTTACTCCACGCCCCACACGTGTAAATTGAATTTTCCCAGCTCTGGTGTGGGTTAGGACATATACATCTAAATACTGGGAAGACAGCGCTCGTGCACAGCAAACGTGAGGCTTCCCAGCAGCTGGGAGATCTGCACCGCAATTCATTAATTTACTGATCTTTTCAACAGCTTTTTATAGATCAAAGGAATACACAGCAAAAGCTGCAAAATTATATAAACAGTGTCCCAAGCCTGGCAAAAACAAGTGATGGTAATCATCGCTGGAAAATGCAGAGTGAGTTGCTATGTGTGTTTGTACCTAATACCGACAAGTACAAGTTTTAAAAAATGTAAATCCTCCTTCACTGATCTGTCAAGAACTCCGCCCAGGGCTCTGGGTTCTCCCTGCTGCTAGAGTCGATCAGAAAACATCACTGAAAAACAGAAATGGAATTTCATGAAAATGATTGTGTTTTTCCTCCACCCTCCCCTTTTTCAACCAGTTCTCCTGGCAGCAGGTGCAAGCAGCACCAGTCGCTGGTGCAGGATAATGGGCATGGCTTTCTGTATCCCATCCAGCTCCTTCTTGATTTCAAGCACATCTAATGCCATCAAGAGATGGAAAAGAAACTAAACTTCTGCTTAGGTAACACTGTCAGGTAAAAAACCTTTTGGCATGCCCTGAAGTTACAGAAATCCAGAGGAAGTAGCTTTAACGTTTCTTGTCTTCAAAGGCTTTACATAATGCCTAGGGTTGTTAAGTGTAGGTATTACTGAATACGATGTCGGAGCACTTACATTTATTATCATTTGAACTATTTTCAGAAGCAATGCTTATATCAATCTGGAGAGCTGGACGCTCAGCTTCACACACTCCTTTTGCAGCATCGGGGGAAGGGCTGACTGCTAGGTCTTTCTTGACTGGTAGATCCCCACGTGTGAACCAGGTAAGCCGACTTATCTGATGGCCTGTGTTAAAGAAAACTGTTTTCATGGTTGTTTCAAGGACTACCTTAGCAGTAGCAGTAGTAGCCTGCAGAGAGAATACTTAGAGGGACTGAAATCTGTTCTCCTGCTCTGGTGGAGCAGGTGAACAGCTAAGTGCTCAGCTGGTAACTACAGAAGCGATGGCTACCGCCGGCATGTTGGGTTTAATTTTGTCTGGAACACGATAGCTGTTTGTACAGATGGCATTCTTCACTCTTTGTTACCGAGGAGGAGACATTTCTGCACGGGACCGTCACTGGATGCAGACTGAGAGCGGGTCAGTGAAGGGAGCAAAAGAATGGAAATTGTGGCCAGGGAGGAATGATTCAAAGAACTGGGGTTGTTGAGAGAAGAGAAGACAGGCGGGAGATATGATAAATTTTCTTCAACTATGTAAAAGACTCATTAAAGAGGAATGTTCTCAGTATCAACGATAGGGCGGACAGAAAGGGATGAGCACAACATGAAGCTGGAAAGATTCAGGTTGCAGATGAGGAAAAACTACTACTGCAAAGGGCAGGTGAGCTCTCCAATTGATCACACACCGCCCTGGGCATTCTCCCTCTCTGGAGACTTTTAAGAGTAAGTTCACCAGGTCTTTCAGAAATACATCAGGTTAGTCCTGTCTCGAAGCACGAGGATGCGTTGGCTGCATGATTTCTGAAGGTCCCTTCTGGCCCTTCTTTCTGCTAATAATGTTTTTCTGTAGCCTCGGTATATCTATTGAAAATAGTCAAACTGGCACAAACCTGTTCCAGAGGAAGTGTGCTCTCTGCCTTTGATTTCTTTTTTTCTGCGAGTAAAAATGGTTCCTCACTAAGTTAGTAAGAAAGTTGATAAAGATGACTCAGAAGCTGGAATTTCTTGGAAAATAGAGGGAAAAAGCTAATTTGTCATGGATTAAACACACATCTTTGAACTTAAGAACAGCTCTTTGTAGCATCTACTGTTGACCAGTTTCCAGGGTGGGACTCTGGATTTATGGGACAAAATAAGGCAGCAGGGTGCTGGAGCAGAGGAGGGATTGCTGTTACAGGTTATTGCAAGTGTGATCATCAATAAAGAATGAATGGAAACTTCCATTTCTGGATTATTTATCCCCACGTTATTTCCATGGATGTAGTGTGGGGCATCCTGGAAAACATTTACAAATAAGAAAAGAAATCTGAAGGGGTGACGCACCATTTCTTCCGAGGGGGGTTCTGTGAGCATGCTCACGACCACCACAGTGAGCGTGGAGATCGCCGCCAGGACCATGGAGAAGTAGAGATAGTGCATGTACTTCACCACGCCTGGTCGGAGGTCGGTCTCGCCGCACTGGGGCTCTGGGTAGATGAAGTCCAGCACCAGCCGAATGACGCCCAGCAGCAGCCCGATCACCAGGCCCCAGAACGCGCCCTAGGAAAGGAAGGGTATTCTTTATTGGAACAAGCAGCGTGCGTCCACCCGGGATCCAGGGCTATACCTACATGCTCAGGCTACAAGCTGGCCAGGCTTTCTCCTTGTGGGGTTGGTTTGGTTTTTTTGGTGGGCTTCTTTTCCTCCCTTTTCTGCTCTTGCAATCTAGGTCTGCCAGTGCTGTTACAGTAGCCTGGTACCTCTCCTCTGTGGGGTCAAGTGGGTCATTAATTTTGGTATGGAGGGGAAGGATAACATCTTATGCCAGA